CTGTGACTGCTGGATCTGGGCACCAGTGACCCACGCAACCCTGAAAAGGAAGAAGCGTGTACAGAAAATGGATGGATGGATGGACCTCCAGAGAAACGTGAGTTCAGAGTTAATAAACATTTGCAACAAGGAAGAAACAATGTTGATCAACTGTGCCAGAGGAAAAACAATTCCATAGGACTTTAAACATCCAGCAGACTTTCTGGTGAGTCAAGACAGTTTTTTTTGTCTTCTGTATTTTGGAATCCCCTCCGTGTTTACGCCACCTCGCTTTCTGATTGGCTACACGTCTCAGAGCTCGGTTGAACACTACACCCACTGTGATATCAGGCCAAAAAATCAAACATGTTGAATATCCTCGATTTGAGGTCGGAGCAGTCCCGACATTCTTCCGAGCCAACTAGATCACACTTAACTCACCACCCACGGCGGGAGTATCTGCTCAGATTATCTTTAGAGCCATCACGATAATCTGGACTTCCTTAAGCTTGTCGGTAGGGCAAAAATCGGCATGGTTATCTTTTGGTGTGACGCCGGCCTTACCTTGATCCAGATCATACTCCTCAGTGGTGCTGACAAAGTGAGGTCTAGAGTAGAAGTTATGAGGCCCCGGCTGCTGGAGCCCCCCCAGGCTGAAGAGGCTCCGCTCGTTGGAAGCGCAGCACGAGAAGGCCCTCCGACTGGGGATGCAGGGGAAACGTGTCCAGCTCTTCGTCTCCAGGTCAAAAGCCTCCAACGCCGTCACTGGCATCTTCCCCTGACGACCACCTGGGGGGGGGGGGGGGCAGAATTAAATCTTTTTATGTGTACTGACACATATGAGCTTAAAGCTGCCTAAATAAGATGATGTAATGATAAAAGAACTTGTGTAATGTAAAAATGAGGCTGAACATAAAGACATTTTCTGTGTAGCATTGCATCATTTTCCACTTCTGATCTTATTTCTTCTTTCTTTTCTATCACATAACTTCAATGACATTCATGTCATAATCTATGAAGTGTGTGAACCAGTTTTTGGGGCTGCATTCTATTTAGAGAGCAAAGCAGCAGGATTCTCCTCCAGGAAGCATGTTTTTTGTTTATTTGAACAAATCCCAACCTTTGAAAATCCAACTGCAAAAGGAAGGCGAACTGACAAGAAAGAGAGAGAGAGAGAGAGAGAGAGAGAGAGAGAGAGAGAGAGAGAGAGAGAGAAGCTCTAATAAAGACGAAGGTGATTCCTGCTGCCAGGATTGGTTTTACTCAGGTCAAATACATGACCAAAGAGGAAGTTGCACAATAAAGTGAAGATGAAGGAAAGGGAGGGAAGACGAAAATAAAAATAAAAATAAGCAAATGAGCCATTGACCATAGTGAAGCGAGGGAAAACAAAGAGGAGCATGTGGAGGAGTAAAAACAAAACAAAAAAAGGCAAGTGGAAAAGGGTCAGGTGGAGTGGGCGGGACGACACAGATCGATAGCAATAGTGAGAAAATGAGTCGGACTGAGTGGGAAGCTTTAGTTTGAGGGAAAAAACAACAGATTTGGAGGAAAAAGATCTTTTGATTGCAGCAGAACAAACTGAGTCATTTTCTGAAGTTAAACCCTGGACTGAATACTCATCAAGACAAACTGTCTTAAAGCTGGATTGTTTGGTCAATCAGGGGTTAAAATGTGATTTTGTTTACTGTTGACATACAGTGTGGGCTGACCTTTGGAGGTAGCCAGGATCCACCCCATGTATTACTGCACTGACTGAGTGCTAATAGAATAGAATAGAATAGAATAGAATAGAATAGAATAGAATAGAATAGAATAGAATAGAATAGAATAGAATAGAAACGGCCTTTATTGTCCCGCAGAGGGGAAATTCAGGTGTAAAAGCAGCATCAGACACCTCAATCCACAAAAACAATATATTGCTGTGTGACAATATGACCAGTAAAAACCTCACATGGCAACGATTGCATCACGCAATTAAGACATACACTCACCGGCCACTTTATTAGGTACACCTTGCTAGTACCGGGTTGGACCCCCTTTTGCCTTCAGAACTGCCTTAATCCTTCATGACATGGATCCAACAAGGTACTGGAAACATTCCTCGGAGAGTCTGGTTCATACAGCTTCACACAGTTGCTGCAGATTTGTRCCACCTCATCCCAAAGGTCTCTATTGATGAGATCTGGTGACTGTGGAGCCATTCCAGTACAGTGAACTCATTGTTGTCTTCAAGAAACCAGTCTGAGATGATTCATGCTTTATGACATGGAGCGTTATCTTGCTGGAAGTAGCCATCAGAAGATGGTACACTGTGGTCAAAAAGGGATGGACATGGTCAGAAGATGGTACACTGTGGTCATAAATGGATGGACATGGTCAGAAGATGGTACACTGTGGTCATAAATGGATGGACATGGTCAGAAGATGAGTACACTGTGGTCATAAATGGGTGGACATGGTCAGAAGATGAGTACACTGTGGTCATAAATGGGTGGACATGGTCAGAAGATGAGTACACTGTGGTCATAAATGGATGGACATGGTCAGAAGATGACAGAAGAAGGGCGGCACGGTGGCTCAGTTGGTAGAGCTGATGCCTCTCAGCAAGAAGGTCACRGGTTCAAATCCCGGTCTGGGGACCTTTCTGGGTAGAGTTTGCATGTTCTCTCCGTGCATGTGTGGGTTCTCTCCTGGCACTCCGGCTTCCTCCCACAGACCAAAAAACGTGACTGTGAGGTTAATTGATAACTCTAAATTGTCCCTAGGTGTGAGTGAGAGAGTGAATGCTTGTTTGTCTCGTTTGTCTCTATGTGTGGCCCTGTGATGGACTGGAGACCTGTCCAGGGTGTACCCTGCCCCTCGCACTGTGACTGCTGGATATGGGCACCAGTGACCCACGCGACCCTGAAAAGGAAGAAGCGTCTACAGAAAATGGATGGATGGATGGATGGTCAGAAGATGGTACACTGTGGTCATAAAAGGATGGACATGGTCAGAAGATGGTACACTGTGGTCATAAAAGGATGGACATGGTCAGAAGATGGTACACTGTGGTCATAAAGGGATGGACATAGTCAGAAGATGGTACACTGTGGTCATAAATGGATGGACATGGTCAGCAACAATACTCAGGTAGGCTGTGGCGTTGACATGATGCTCAGTTGGTACTAATGGACCCAAAGTGTGTCAGAAAAATATCCCCCACACCATTGGYCSACCACCTTGAACTGTTGATACAAGGCAGGATGGATCCATGCTTTCCTGTTGATGACACCAAATTCTGACCCTACCATCTGAATGTTTCAGCAGAAATCCAGACTCATCAGACCAGGTGACGTTTTTCCAGTCTTCTATTGTCCAGTTTTGGTGAGCCTGTGTGAATTGTAGCCTCAGTTTCCTGTTCTTAGCTGACAGGAGGCACCTGGTGTGGTCTTCTGCTGCTGTAGCCCATCTGTCTCAAGGTTTGATGTGTTGTGTGTTCAGAGATGCTCTTCTGCAGACCTCGGTTGTAACGAGTGGTTATCTGAGTTACTGTTGTCGTTCTATCAGCTCSAACCAGTCTGGCAATTCTCCTCTGACCTCTGGCATCAACAAGGCATTTCAGCCCACAGAATTGCCACACTGGATATTTTCTCTTTTTTGGACCATTCTCTGTAAACCCTAGAGATGGTTGTGGGTGAAAATCCCAGTAGATCAGCAGTTTCCGAAATACTCAGACCAGTCCGTCTGGCACCAACAACCATGCCACGTTCAAAGTCACTTAAATCACCTTTCTTCCTCATTCTGATGCTGGTTTGAACTGCAGCAGATCATCTTGGTCATGTCTACATCGGGTTGCTGCCATGWGATTGGCTGATTCGACATTTGCGTTAATGAGCAGTTGGACAGGTGGACCTAATAAAGTGGCTGGGGAGTGTATGTCTTCACTTCTTTACAGAACAGGCACCCAGCTGGTAATTTTAAACAAAGAGAAAATCCAACAAGATCTGAACACACATGTGTGTAAAAACCAGGGGTAACTTGTGACAAGATCTCACGAGAAGTCTTGAAAACAAAAAACCTGCCTGCACTCTGTCTAATTTCTATAATAAAAGTAAAATGTTGGGAGCTCCTTGAAATTCCATTGAGGTTTTTTGGTAGGTTAGTAAAAAAAAAATACATGTTCATTATATAAGATGACTATTTTCTATGAATAAACCCTTTAATCAATCTAAACTGAGGCAATGATGAAGCAACAAACCAGGGGTTTTGTTTCTGTCACTGCTGGTTTTTGCTGTTGGCGTTTAATTTGACACGTCACCAGGATCAAAAAGAAAAGGCTGAATCTATTTAAGATTTTATTTTTCTTCTAAAATCACGTTTAACATACGAATAATATTTCTGTTAAACATCACCTTGTTATTTCAGTATTTTTATCATGTTGCTATGATGCTGTTATTAGAATTGAACTAAATCTAGTCTCAAGAAAAGCTTGTATACATAAAGATCAACCCAACAAAATAAACTCCCATTACATTTATTTTAAATAACATCTTATTCTAGAGCAGACCTGCTGCCGCTGTATCTATAAGATCTGTGTGTACTGTGTATTAGGGCTGCACGATATTAGGAAAACCTGCGATGGGCGAAAACAAGGCTTAATATTGCAATGATGATATGACTTGCAATAAACAAACAAATTTGCAATGCTGATGTTTTTCTGAGAGAGAGAGAGAGAGAGAGAGAGAGAGAGAGAGAGAGAGAGAGAGATAGAGTTAATGCTTAAAGGGCCTATATT